GCGCATCCTGGATGCCTGGGTTCCTCGTGTGTGTGTGTGTGTATCCTGGATGCCTGGGTTCGTGTATGTGTGTATCCTGGATGCCTGGGTTGCTCGTGTGTGCGTGTGTGCGCGCGCATCCTGGATGCCTGGGTTCCTCGTGTGTGCGTGCGTGCGCATTCTGGATGCCTGGGTTCCTCGTGTGTGTGTGTGTGTGTGTGTGTGTGTGTGCATCCTGGATGCCTGGGTTCCTCGTGTGTGTATGTGTGTGTGTTTGTGTGCGTTCATGCGCACGCATCCTGGAAGCCTGGGTTCCTCGTATGTGCGTGTGCATGCGTGCACATCCTGGATGCCTGGGTTCCTCGTGTGTGTATGTGTGTGTGTTTGTGTGCGTTCATGCGCACGCATCCTGGAAGCCTGGGTTCCTCGTATGTGCGTGTGCATGCGTGCACATCCTGGATGCCTGGGTTCCTCGTGTGTGTATGTGTGTGTGTTTGTGTGCGTTCATGCGCACGCATCCTGGATGCCTGGGTTTCTCGTGTGTGTGTGTGTGCGGGCGCATCCTGGATGCCTGGGTTCCTCATGTGTGTGTGCGTGGGCGCGCACACATCCTGGATGCCTGGGTTCCGTGTGTGTGTGTGTGTGCGCGCGCGCGCGCGCGCGCGCGCGCGCGCGCGCGCGCGCGCGCGCGCGCGCGCGCGCGCGCGCGCGCGCGCGCGCGCGCGCGCGCGCATCCTGGATGCCTGGGTTCCTCGTGTGTGTGTGTGCGCGCGTGCGCATCCTGGATTCCTCGTGTGTGTGTGTGTGTGTGTGTGTGTGCGCATCCTGGATGCCTGGGTTCCTCGTGTGTGTGTGTGCGCGCGTGCGCATCCTGGATTCCTCGTGTGTGTGTGTGTGTGTGTGTGTGTGCGCATCCTGGATGCCTGGGTTCCTCGTGTGTGTGTGTGCGCGCGTGCGCATCCTGGATTCCTCGTGTGTGTGTGTGTGTGTGTGTGTGTGCGCATCCTGGATGCCTGGGTTCCTCGTGTGTGTGTGTGCGCGCGTGCGCATCCTGGATTCCTCGTGTGTGTGTGTGTGTGTGTGTGTGTGCGCATCCTGGATGCCTGGGTTCCTCGTGTGTGTGTGTGCGCGCGTGCGCATCCTGGATTCCTCGTGTGTGTGTGTGTGTGTGTGTGTGTGCGCATCCTGGATGCCTGGGTTCCTCGTGTGTGTGTGTGCGCGCGTGCGCATCCTGGATTCCTCGTGTGTGTGTGTGTGTGTGTGTGTGTGCGCATCCTGGATGCCTGGGTTCCTCGTGTGTGTGTGTGCGCGCGTGCGCATCCTGGATTCCTCGTGTGTGTGTGTGTGTGTGTGTGTGTGCGCATCCTGGATGCCTGGGTTCCTCGTGTGTGTGTGTGCGCGCGTGCGCATCCTGGATTCCTCGTGTGTGTGTGTGTGTGTGTGTGTGTGCGCATCCTGGATGCCTGGGTTCCTCGTGTGTGTGTGTGCGCGCGTGCGCATCCTGGATTCCTCGTGTGTGTGTGTGTGTGTGTGTGTGTGCGCATCCTGGATGCCTGGGTTCCTCGTGTGTGTGTGTGCGCGCGTGCGCATCCTGGATTCCTCGTGTGTGTGTGTGTGTGTGTGTGTGTGCGCATCCTGGATGCCTGGGTTCCTCGTGTGTGTGTGTGCGCGCGTGCGCATCCTGGATTCCTCGTGTGTGTGTGTGTGTGTGTGTGTGTGCGCATCCTGGATGCCTGGGTTCCTCGTGTGTGTGTGTGCGCGCGTGCGCATCCTGGATTCCTCGTGTGTGTGTGTGTGTGTGTGTGTGTGCGCATCCTGGATGCCTGGGTTCCTTGTGTGTGTGTGTGTGCGTGCGCGCGCATCCTGGATGCCTGGGTTCCTTGTGTGTGTGTGTGTGCGTGCGCGCGCATCCTGGATGCCTGGGGTCCTTGTGTGTGTGTGTGTGTGCGCGCGCATCCTGGATGCCTGGGGTCCTTGTGTGTGTGTGTGTGTGCGCGCGCATCCTGGATGCCTGGGGTCCTTGTGTGTGTGTGTGTGTGCGCGCGCATCCTGGATGCCTGGGGTCCTTGTGTGTGTGTGTGTGTGCGCGCGCATCCTGGATGCCTGGGGTCCTTGTGTGTGTGTGTGTGTGCGCGCGCATCCTGGATGCCTGGGGTCCTTGTGTGTGTGTGTGTGTGCGCGCGCATCCTGGATGCCTGGGGTCCTTGTGTGTGTGTGTGTGTGCGCGCGCATCCTGGATGCCTGGGGTCCTTGTGTGTGTGTGTGTGTGCGCGCGCATCCTGGATGCCTGGGGTCCTTGTGTGTGTGTGTGTGTGCGCGCGCATCCTGGATGCCTGGGTTCCTCGTGTGTGTGCGTGCACGCACACCCTGGATGCCTGGGTTCCTCGTGTGTGTGTGTGTGTGTGTGTGTGTGTGTGCGTGCGCGCATCCTGGATGCCTGGGTTCCGTGTGTGTGTGTGTGTGTGCGCACGCGCATCCTGGATGCCTGGGTTCCTCGTATGTGTGTGTGTGCGCGCGCATCCTGGATGCCTGGGTTCCTCGTGTGTGTGCGTGTGCATCCTGGATGCCTGAGTTCCTTGTGTGTGTGTGTGCGCGTGCGTGTGTGCGCGCATCTTGGATGCCTGGGTTCGTGTGTGTGCGCGCGCGCATCCTGGATGCCTGGGTTCCTCGTGTGTGTGCGTGTGTGTGCGCGCATCGTGGATGCCTGGGTTCCTCATGTGTGTGCGCTCGCGCATCCTGGATGTCTGGGTTGCTCGTGTGTGTGCGCGCGCATCCTGGATGCCTGGGTTCCTCGTGTGTGTGCGTGTGTGTGCGCGCATCGTGGATGCCTGGGTTCCTCATGTGTGTGCGCTCGCGCATCCTGGATGTCTGGGTTGCTCGTGTGTGTGCGCGCGCATCCTGGATGCCTGGGTTCCTCGTGTGTGTGTGCATGTGCCCCGGATGCCCGGGTTCCTTGTGGATGTGTATCTGTCCCGGATGCCCAGGTTCCATGAGTGTGTCTTGGATGCTTGGGTTGTTTTTTGTGTGCGCATGTCCTGGATATTTGGTTCCTCATGTGTGTCCCCCCGATGCCTGGGTACCTTGCGCACACATATGTGTATATGTCCTGGATGCCTGGGTTCCTCACGTGCATGTGTCCCCTAGATGCCTGGGTTCCTCATGTGTATGTCCATCTCGGATGCCTGGGTTTCTCCTCTGTGTGTGTGTGTGTGTCCAGATGTTTGGGTTTCGTTTTGTGTGTGCATGTCCGATGCCTGGCTTCACACGCATAGTTATATGTGTGCGTGCGTGCGTGCGTGTGTGTGTCCTGGAAGCCTGGGTTCCTTGCACGCACGCGTGTCTGTCCCCTGGATGCCTGGGTTCTTCACACGGATGCGTGTCCCCCAGATGCCTGGGTTCCTCCTGTGTGTGTGTCCCCAAGATGCCTGGGTTCCTTACATGTGTGTCCCCTAGGCCTGTCCCCTCTCCCCAGGCACCTGGGTCCCTGCCTCACCTCCTTGAGGTTCTCATAGCCAGTCATGTCATCAGCCAGCGCTCCCTGGAACATCTCTGCCACGGTGCGGTGCAGGAATTCGTACTGCTCCTGCACGGGTGGACATGTGTGCTGCTAGGAGGCGAGGTTGGGGGGCAGGAGAGGGTGCGAGGGCTTAGAAGCAGGAAGGATTGGGGGGGTTGTGGGAGCAGGACAGAGAGCAAGGGGCTGTGGGAGCAGGCAGGGGAGTGGGTGCCTGTAGGGGCAGGATGGAGGCGGGAGCTCACCAGGGTCTGCACGGCCGCCGGGCGCTGCTTCCGTATCTCCAGGACCAGGTCGAAGAGGCTGAAATTCGGGGGGATTCTCTGGGGAAAGGAGGCACGGGAGAGTGAAGGTAGAGGAAGGGGAACCCAGGCGCCTGGCATATACGTACACACGCAGACAGGCGAGCACACGTGTGCGCTGGTTCACCCGCACGCAGGCAGGCAGTCACGTGTACACGTGCTCACACCCGGACATGCGCACTCACCCGTTGCACCAGCAGGTCTCGAACCAGTTCCGCCGCGCAGATCACCCCGGTCCGGCCGCAGCCCGCGCTAAGGTACACGGAGACACCTGAGCCCCGCCCCTTCTACCAGGCCCCGCCCTTCCAGCAAACAACATCCACGTGCTCCGCCCCCACCAAGCCCCGCCCCGCCTGCACAGCCCAGCCCTGCCCTCCCCCTCTTCCTAAAATAACCCCACCCCTTCCTGATGCCCCGCCCCTACCTGCAGTGGACGCAGAGCGGGGAGGGGTCCGCGCCCTGCTCACTGCGCATGCGCTCCACCAGCGCCAGTAGCGGGCCGCAGCTGTCGGGGATGCCGCGGTCAGGCCACGCCAGGTACTGCGCATGCGTCACCCTCCGCGACTCCTGCGGGACGGAAGATGAACGCTCAGCAGCCTCTGGCGGCCGCGGGCTGTGCTGTAGCTGGAGCACTCTCGGCACCACAGCGCCCCCAGTGGCGCCTACGTGTACTGTAGCCAGCGAGTAAAGCGCCCCCTGCCGGCGCCCCACCTGCCCTGTGTAGGGCCCTGCTGCCACCCCCGGGGACATTACCAGGCCAGTGACCCGCCCTGGACTCCCAATTGCCCCCTCCCCTGCTGCCCTCTCCCCAGTACTGCCAACTCTTATATAAAGAAAGAGCTCGTTTTTCACATTCCTGAAGTGTAGACTTGAAGAACAACGCCAAAAATCATGAGAGTTGGTAATACTGTGCCTCCCTGCTGTGGGGTATTACAGCCAGACTAGTGTCCACCACCGGGTCCCCCTCTCCCCAGACCTGTAAGGCCCTTGCTGCCCCCCTGGGGTATTACAGCTATCACAATGCCCC